TTTTTTTTTAAGGGAAATACTGAAAGAGGGACAACTTTTCGGAAGTTTAAGTATAAGGCATTGTCTGGCTTCTGTGTTTTGGAGCTCTGCAGGAGCATTATTTTCATTATGGCTTGTGTGTTTCTCTAGATACCGGAGTGTCTGAACAATTATCTCTGAAGCTGCCACAGAACGTGGTAGAAGAATCTGCCCGAGCCTCCATCTCGGTATTGGGTGAGCTCCGTCCCTGTGAATCATTCTACTATATGGGCAGTTTTTGCTGTATTTCTTTTCCATAAATACTCCCTCAAAATAACAACTCTAATTTCAACTTCAGTCTTCCCTCTGTCTTTGGGCTCATTCATTGTTCCCAATCATACTCCTCCTGTCCCTGGACAACTCACCCTTGCCCCAAATCTTCATTTTTCAACCTTCCTAAAATTATTCCTTTCTTCTTAAGGATTCGGATAGATTATAATCTAGAAGACTTATGATGTCCCATCTCTCCCATTCCCTAGGAGACATCTTGGGCTCTGCCATGCAAAATATACAAAATCTCCTCCAAATGCCCTATGGCTGTGGAGAACAGAATATGGTCCTCTTTGCTCCTAACATCTATGTTCTGAATTATCTAAATAAGACACAACAGCTGACTCCAGAGGTCAAGTCCAAGGCCATTGGCTACCTCAATACCGGTGAGTGATTAAACAAGTAAGTGGAAACTTCACAGAGTCATTTTAACAATACACTGGATTTCCCAATAGGCTTGAATTACTTATCGGTTCTATGGTATGTTGGCTTCTCATAGTATCATAGTTACTTTGGTACGCATGCTGTGACCGCTAATTTTACGGTAACTATCCAGGGTCCAACTTCCCATTAATGTTTAGAACTCAGACCCTTCTAACATATGACAGCAAAACTTAAGAAATATCACCAAAGGGATGCCAGATGGTCAGAATCTCGCAGTTCGTGGGTTCAAGCCCCACATCAGGCTCTCTGCTGTCAGTGCAGAGCCCGCCTGGGATCCTCTGTCCCTCTCTCTCTCTCTCTCTGCCCCTCTCCACTTGTGTGCTCTCTCTCTCAAAAATAAATAAATGCTTTTTTAAAATTTTTTTAAAAGAAAGAACTATCAGCAGAGACCGAGGCATTTTGGTAATTTTTCTGGCCAAAACACATGCCGTCTGTCATACTGTTTCATTAACCTTCTATTCCAGGTTACCAGAGACAGCTGACCTATAAGCACCATGATGGCTCCTATAGCACCTTTGGGGAGAAATATGGCAGGAATGAGGGCAATACCTGGTAAGGAATAGACAGTTTTTGAGCTCCTATTTCCATACCAGCTCTCTTACATGTATTATCACAAGTATATTCACAGTAACCTTATCACATATGTATTATTAAACCTGTAGTTGGTTATGCTCAGTACCTATACCAAGACCAGCGAGGTAACCACCAGAAAGGTTGACATTCAAATACATGGATATTAGATCTGTCCCCAAAATTCATCCTGTTAATAACACCAAGCATATTCTTTCTAAAATAGCTATTCGGGGGGGGGGGGCGCTTGTGTGGCTCAGTCGGTTAAGCGCCCGACTCTTGATTTCGGCTCAGGTCATGATCTCATGGTTTGTGAATCTGAGCCCCGAATCAGGCTCTGCACTGACAGCTCAGAGCCAGCTTGGGATTCTGTCTCCGTGCCTCTCTCTCTGTCCCTCCCTGACTCGTGCGTGCTCTCTCTCTCTCTCTCTCTCTCTTTCTCAAAATAAATAAATAAACTTCTAAAAAATAAAGTAAAATTTTTAAATAATAATAATAAAATAAAATAGATGTCTTTGGGGGGCACCTGGCTGGCTGAATCAGTAGAGCATGCAATAGTTGGCTTCATGTTGTTAAGTTCAGCCCCATGTTGGGTGTAGAGATTACTTAAAATTAAAATCGGTTAAAAATAGTAATGAAATTGGGGTGCCTGGGTGGCTGTCAGTTAAGCATCCGACTTCTGGTCAGTCATGATCTCACAGTCCATGAGCTCAAGCCCCACGTCAGGCTGTGTGCTGACAGCTGGGAGCCTGGAGCCTGCTTCGGATTCTGTGTCTCCGTCTCTCTCTCTCTCTCTGCCCCTCCCCCGCTCATGCTCTGTCTCTCTCTCCTTCAAAAAATTCAATAAACATTTAAAATTAAAAAAAAAATAACAATAATAATATGATAGCTATTTTTAAATGGCTATTTTTTTCTAAAATCGCTCCCATAACCATGAGTTTTTAAATAATATGGCCAGTGAACGTATCACATAACTTTTAGATAAACCACGTTAACTTCCACTTGTGGTGGGTTTTTAGATCATACTCATCTTGACTGAGAATAAATTCACTCATAGGAAGAAAGAAATGAGGGGGACCCAGTGACACGAAACATTGTTTTAAAATCCCTAAGGCAACGCAAAGCAGTTAGAAGTTACCACAATTTTCCATAGAAGATTCTGCCATCTACAGAAGGAAGTCTCTAAAGAGAAGAAAGATGGAAAACCTTACTCAAATAAGTAAAGATAAATAACATTAGAAGAACATTAGAACGTTATTCGCTGTAGCAAAGAGAAAATGAGTCAGCAACGAAATTACCAGATTTAGCAGATTAATCAAGCAGTCTAAAGGAGATGGGAGTTCTAAATACACGTGAATACCGGTCAGGTGACTCACATCAATGTAAATGGTGTCCGATGAAGCCTGTCACCGTGACACAGTTAGAAAACTATTGTCACAACAAAAACATCACCATCGCTTCCCTCCTGCTCAGGCTTACCGCCTTTGTACTGAAGACTTTTGCCCAGGCTCGAGCCTACATCTTCATTGATGAAGCACACATCACCCAAGCCCTCACCTGGCTCTCCCAAAAGCAGAAGGACAATGGCTGTTTCAGGAGCTCTGGGTCTCTGCTCAACAATGCCATTAAGGTGAGGTGTTCGTGGAGTTAGCTTTTATCTGTCCATTCTGATGTCTACAAGGATAATATGGGAATTCCTTAAGAAAGACAAATAATAGATAGATAGATAGATTGATTGATTGATAGATAGATTGATAGATAGATCCCGGATAGTGCCAAGAAAGAGGGGATGGAACGTACGTTGCTTGTGCTAATTTGCCCCCTGGGGATGCAGACGAGTAAGGATACATTCCATGACACCCAGGAGCTGATTAAGAGCATTCTCAGAAGTTCAATTAATCAAATCTCTCTCTCTACCCCCCCACACTTACAGGGTGGAGTGGAAGACGAAGTGACCCTTTCTGCCTACATCACCATTGCCCTTCTGGAGATTCCTCTCCCCGCCACTGTAGGTACCACCTCATTCCCCTGCTGAGGCATAGTTTGGACACAATGAAACTGCTGCCCTGCTGTCAGAAATATCACCTTACTAAAAGCCAGGTGTCAGCTTTCCTTCTATGCCATGCCAATGCTTCTCGGATCAATAGGAAATGTGGTCCATCCGTTAAGAAAGATATACACTATCCCAGGGATGCCCCCTAAGCTATTTCTCCCCTAAGACCTCCCACTCGTGCCATACGTACATAGAAAATGAGTTCTAAAAATATGGTCTGTGCTCCTGCCTTACGAATGTAATAATAACATAAAAAATACTATTCTCTCTCTCCATAAAAATGACAACAGATGGGGGCGCCTGGGTGGCTCAGTAGGTTAA